GTTGCTGGCTGATTATAACTACCATTGACGTTTGCTGTTACTGTTGCTGCAGAATCATATACCACTAATTATACTACTGATGTATAATTTTACTGTTTATTGACCACTTTAGCGTTGTCATTAGCGTTCATAGTTCCCGTTTATCTGTTACCACTTCCCGTCGCTTTACACCTTTGCTTATGATTAATCTGTGCATGGGGAGTGTGGGTGAGGGGCCTTTTATCTTAATGTTAATCCTGAGACGAGTGCAAATATATACACATGGAGAGAACTTTACTTTCGACAAGAGATTGAAAGTGAATTTTATGGATGAGGGTGGAGGGTGAGGGGGAGGGTGAGGGAGAGGGTGGAGGGTGAGGGGGAGGGGGAGGGGGAGGGAGGGGGGAGCAAATACGACTGAGAATGCTAATTAAGGCTTGATGCTTCGGACAATTGTTGAAAATTATTATTATTATTATTATTATTATTATTATTATTATTATTATTATTATTATTATTATTATTATTGTTATCATCTATTTATTTGTTTATTAAATCTGCAGTGAGTTAACCTAAAGAAGTGAATTTCTCCTAAAAAAAAGCATTACCATCTAAACTCTAATGGTTGTGTCAGGTGGAAGTGAGAGTACAGTCCCGGATGTCTGTCTTGTTTACACTGCGTCTCTCTACCTGGTTTACTTGGTTCTGACAGTCCTGGCAAACAGTTGATTCCGGTGTCAACTAAACAGGACGGTTGTTTAGCCCCCTAACCTAGCGTAAACTAACCTAGAATAACCTGGTCAAGCCTACCTAACCTAACCTAAACCCGCTAACCTAATCTTCATGTAATCTGGCGGAAAATATGCAAAAGCTCTGGTGAAATGAATGTCTGACTTTCTAATTGCAGGCAAGGGCTAACCAGGAACCAACAAGTTTGTTTACAATCAGGTGTTGGTGGTCACTCCTACCTCCGCCACTCCGGCAGATTTTTGTCCCAGTATGCAGGAAGACAACAACGATAACATTTAGTAAAATGCGGTTTTTTTTTGTTAAGTCAACCGTTCGTGTTGTAGTTTTCTTAAGTACAGAAACCTTAGTGTAATATTATGTGTCTAGTATATCGTAATAATTCCAGGTACTTTGGGTTTTAATTTTAATTTTAGAGAACTTTTATTTCAAGAAAGCAAACCATCCTTCACAGTGTACACGCAAAATCAACTATAGTTTTCATACTCGGTTAGATTAATCAGTTATGTTATTGAGCTAATTATACAAGATATACAGTAATTTATTAAGAACTTTGAAGAAGCTGGAGTACTTTTTACGAGGTGTTGATGTGGCAGCTTATAGTTCGTCCTGGGAAGAAATTACGAGTTTACCTTCTTAACCACATTCTCAAGTCGTAGATTCTCTCAGTCGTGTCCAGACCTCTAATGTGTTCTTTATATAGACAAGCATACAGCCAGACATACACACAGACATAAAATTTCACAGTATTCACACTGATTCATTCTCATCTAGGAAATACTTAGTATACAAAGAATATATCCACCCTCGATCACATCTCCTGTGAGTAAAATATTTGTCAGCTCATATTACAGTTTATCGTCTGTTCGCTGTAAGACTGTACTGTATAGCATTCATCACCATCATACACTCACCAGACAATCAACACCATTCATTTGACTGTAAGACTGTACTGTATAGCGTTCATCACCACCAAACAATCAACACCACTCATGTGACTGTAAGACTGTACTGTATAGCGTTCATCACCACCAGACAATCAACACCACTCATGTGACTGTAAGACTGTACTGTATAGCGTTCATCACCACCAGACAATCAACACCACTCATGTGACTGTAAGACTGTACTGTATAGCGTTCATCACCACCAGACAATCAACACCACTCATGTGACTGTAAGACTGTACTGTATAGCGTTCATCACCACCAGACAATCAACACCACTCATGTGACTGTAAGACTGTACTGTATAGCGTTCATCACCACCAGACAATCAACACCACTCATATGACTGTAAGACTGTACTGTATAGCGTTCATCACCACCAGACAATCAACACCACTCATATGACTGTAAGACTGTACTGTATAGCGTTCATCACCACCAGACAATCAACACCACTCATGTGACTGTAAGACTGTACTGTATAGCGTTCATCACCACCAGACAATCAACACCACTCATATGACTGTAAGACTGTACTGTATAGCATTCATCACCACCAAACACTCGCCAGTCAACACGGTAACGTAAATGTCTTTCGGCTGTTACCTCGCTGTCCCAACTACGTAAATAACACTGATGACAGAGCGACCATAACACCCCTGAGGCTTCATGTCTATTTCTGTCTATTTATGACTATTTCTGTCTATTTCTGTCTATTTCTGACTATTTCTGTCTATTTCTGACTATTTCTGTCTATTTCTGACTATTTCTGTCTATTTCTGACTATTTTTGTCTATTTCTGACTATTTCTATAGCTTTCTGTCTATTTCTGTCTTTCTATTTTTTTCTCTGTCTTTTTTCTGTCAATCTGTCTCTGAATTTTTCTATCTGTATTTTTTCTGTCTATTTCTGAATTTTTCTATCTATTTTTTTCTGTCTATTTCTGTGTCTGTATTTTTTCTGTCTCTTTTTTCTGTCTATTTCAGTTTTTTCTGTCTGTCTTTTCTCTGTCTATTTCTGTCTCGCTCCGTCTCTGTTGTTATTGTATTGGTGTTACTTTTGTTGTGTTTTTTTCTTGTTCTTTCTATTTGCATTTTGTATCTTTTGTTTTGTTGTTTTTTGTTTTTTTGTTGCCGTTGTTTGGTAGGAGAAAGTTAATAGCGAATGTTAATTGAAAAAAAGAAAGTTAAATGACGTAAATAAGTAGAGAAAAGAGACGAACAGAAAATAAACACCAGCTTAGATGAGGTCAGGTGTATCAGAGAGAGAGAGAGAGAGGAGAGAGAGAGAGCACCATGACTGAACGAGTTACAGTATGTCAGTGAATATTCTTCTACCTTACAGTGTCTTTCTTTTTTTTTCTCTATCTCTCCCTCTTTATCTCTCAGTCTTTGTATGTCTTAGTCTTCACTTATTAAGTCTTGCTTTTTCGATTCTTTTCCCTTCAGTTATTCTTATTTCCCCCCCAACCCGCCTCTCTCTCTCTCTCTCTCTCTCTCTCTCTCTCTCTCCCTTTAGCCTAGCAAGTCACTTTATCTGCTTTCTCTTCCTTCCTTCCTTCCTTTCTATCAGCTCACCCGTTGTTGACACATATGACGTCATCCATAATACCAGCTGATGTATATGATGACATAATCCCTCAGCTGATGTATATGATGACGTAATCCCTCAGCTGATGAAAGTAAACACAATCGATCCGTTGTTTACATGTGCACCACACCCAACCTGATTATAAGGTCGAATGAAAGCAATATTTGTCTTTCTGTTGCCTTGAGGAAGAGTCGAGTCATATTTTATACTTACCATATGATGAAACACAAATGAGTGGCTTGTGAGGTCTGTGAGTCAATGTCAATGGCCTAATTTTATTGCGTATTTTGTAATGATTTTGTTTTTATTTATTTTTTTTTAGCTTTATTTATTTATGATTCAGTTTTTGTTTATCTTTTCAGTTTTATCACTAACCCACATCTGGTGGTGGTGGTGGTGGGGGGAAGCCTCTATAAGCAAAAAAAAATATATATAAATTAAAAAACAGACCAAGAGTGAGTTATATACTTCAGTAACCAGTATCCACCTCACTTCGTATATGGAGTGTAACGTTACGGTGCACTACAGGAGAGTTGCTGGAAGACAAAGGATTTTTATATGACGCAACCTGAGGAACTAGCGAATTGTAGTTGGTTAATTCTGGTCACAAATCTTAGATAATACAACACATGCTGAAATTGTGTTGAAAGTGATGCCTTAATAAGAGGAGAAGAGTTTATTAGAAATATTAAATAAAACACAGATGAAATATACAGGATCTCGACGCATCATATCACGAAGTTTAAGAAAGAATACATTTGGGACATTGCCAATGGGTAGTATAGGTGGAGAGAGAGAGAGAGAGAGAGAGAGAGAGAGAGAGAGAGAGTCAACGTGAAAGACAATGAACCAGACGAAATATTATGAACTTTTATTATATATGAGACATGAACTTATTTTTTATTCGTCTTTTAAATGTCATAAAAAAAATCGTGTTTCATTGATTTCGAGTTTTGAGAATTTAGGGACTTAAGATACGGAAGAATAGCTATTGTAAATGGGGATAGAAGACCATTAAGCATTATATTTATTTTACCATATTGGGTGAACCTACAGTCTACACCTATATTGACATTGTGCTCTCTCTCTCTCTCTCTCTCTCTCTCTCTCTCTCTCTCTCTCTCTCTCTCTCTCTCTCTCTCTCTCTCTCTCTGTCTTGTTCTCTGTCTGTCTCACCGTCTCTTTCACTCTGTCTCTCGCACCTTTTGTCTCTCGTTCTTTCCCGTTTTTTACTTCCTCTTTTACTCACACATTTTTCTGTTGACTTCTGCCCCTGTCTGTCATTTTCTCTTGTTCTGTTTATCTGTCTTTCTTAATCTTGCTTTTTCTATCGTTTATTTTTTGTCTGTTTCTTTATCTATCTCTTTTTCTTTCCACCCGTGTTTCTCCTTTTCTCTCTATCCCTTATTCCTCCACTTCTGCTTCTCTGTTTCTCTCCTTCTCCTTGTCTCTGGTGGAAGTGACGGCAAAATCTACTAGGAAAAGTAAAGATGATTAATTTTATTTAATATATATTATATCATACCTCATATTCTGGACTCTAAATCATATATTTAAGTGTGTTTATATTGGCTCCGAGTGTGTGTGTGTGTGTGTGTGTGTGTGTGTGTGTGTGTGTGTGTGTACCTGTTTGTTTCCCCTCAGTGTAAGACGAGACTCCCTACATTACCACACTGTAAACATCCAACATGGAACCGGACCCTAATTCACTCCTTCTTTTTTCTATCTCCCCAACAGCTATGATGATGCTGACGCTGGTGTTGGCGAGTGTGTTGGTTATAGCTGAGGGAGAAGCTCTCCTCCCATCCCACTCCCAACTCCTTCACCACTACGACCAACACCCGCTACCCCAAAACCTCCTGAACGATGTCCAAACACAACATCCGTCTCCTAAGTTTTTGCGGAATATGGTCGACCGAGATCATGAACTGATGGCGATGGAGACCTACCGCGTCAAGTCGGATCTCACAGCCACGAATCCTGGAAGTCTTGAAGAGGGGAGGAGAGTTACCGCGATATCTCCTTCAAATCCTATCAAGATCCTATGGGACTCTCCGTTTAATCATCCAGTGTATTCTACTGACGAAAGACACACTGACGAAGAGGACACGCTGCTGGTTCACGACACTGGTGCTCCTGAGAGTCTGAAGGAGACCAAGAAAATAGTCATTCCAAAACTGGAGTACAGTCGGACGTTCACATCACAATCACAAGACCACAAGAAGGCCAGTTATATCGTCTCCCGCAGTAGTGACCTCCACCAGAAACCTCACAGACGGCAGAAACGATTTATCCTCGGAAAGAATATAAGGAACATCGCTGTGCCTCTTAGTATCTTCAACTACCTGGGTTTCCTGCCAGTTCGCGTGCCAGGGCTGCCCTACCACAACGACCTGCCCTCACCAGATTACAGTTACTACAACACCATGCATGAGGTATACGCACCATACGCGAGGAAGACGAGGAGGAGGAGGAAACGAATTCTGTTTTAAAAATCAACCTTTTAGTCGCTATAAGAACTGTACTTCGTGCCGTTCGTCTCTTTTGTTGTGTGTATTGTTTGTTGTGTTACTAGGTTTACTGTTCAATTACTCGAAGGCCAAACTAACTTTTTACAGCACTTAAGACTACCCAAGAAAGTAGTGAAATGAGGAAATGATAGTGAGTGAAGTCTTTGGAATTAATTTAGTGACTGAACTTTTATTGTCTCTCTTCTCTCAGCCAAAGTAGTAGTCACTTCAGTGTGTTGTCATCTTCCTGTTATGTGTCAAAACAGAAAGATAAATTCACGCCAGTCAACGAATAATTGTTAAGAGTAAAATAAACTGCAGCCAAATAAACAAGTGCCAAAGGAAGCGTCGACGTACTTTGTGGAAAAGGTAAATACTTGCCAACAGTGCGTAACAGAGACGTGACCGATCGCCCAAGCGGCTAACGAGCCGATCAGTGGTGAAGAGGATAAAACTAACTAAAACATTGGGAGATAATAAATGACTCAAATGTTTGCCACTTTCGAAAAAAAAAGAGACTTAGATATCATTATATAATCAAGAACCCTATAAAGTTATCGGGAGCACAGAAGCTCCTCTTAAACTTCTTACTTTTAACATAAATCCTTAACACAAAACTGATTATTTACTCATATGTAATTAATAGGCATCGTACTTAAAAAAAAAAGAAAGTACATCAAGGCCAGAGAAGGTCATGTATACACCCATGCACTATCAACGCCACAGGTAGTCCCGGATCACCCATGAAGAGCCCTTCCCAATCACCTCAATACGAATCTTCTGTTGTCCTGCGTGAGAAACATTGGTACTGTACTGGGCACCTCCACGCCTCCCTTACATCTGTTATACGAGGAGGACTGAGGTGATGATATTAAGTAAATAAAATTCAACGAGATCAGATTCCGGTTAGGCAGACGGAATAGAAGGAATCAAGACAGTGGAGGTGAAAGAAGTATTGATAAAAGTGGTCAAGCAAATCAAGACATAAAAGGTCAAGCAAATCAAGGTGGAAGAGATCAAGTAAATCCGTTTAAACAAGTTGAAGCAAAGGTGCATCCAATATTCTGATGATATTTCTATGAACGTCTTCGTCAACAACAAATAATTCATGACCTGAGTTACAACACACCCTCAGTACGGAGTTAATCTATAGGTGAAGACGGCACGATCCCTCTCAGGTTAACGCACTGAAGGAAATACCAACCTGTGGGCCACGCCTAGATCTAACGCCTCGATAAAGATAAATACAATTGAATTCACATTTATTTGTGTGGTGTTGGTAATTTTAGTAGAGGAAGTGAAAATCCTGGATAATCCTGTGGTCGGACTTAATGATGATACTAATAAAAATATAGTGAGTAGAAGTTCAACTAGTGATAACATTCTTTAAATTAAGTTTATTATTGACATGAAACAAAAGCATAACGCAGAAAAGGAAAACTTATGACCTGAAATAATAATAGCATTGTTAATTAAAAATACTCATATAAACATTATACAGTACATTATTTTGAAATTACATATACTCAATATAAAAAGTGAATAAGAACTAGTTAATTTTGAAACGTGAACCATGTGGATAAGGAGAAGAGATAGAAAACATCAACAAGACATCATCGAACCAGAGGCAATGGACTGATTGTAGCAGTTACCCCAAAAAGTCATCCGAGTGAGGTAAGTTTTCTCTCATATCTGTTCCGTTTTCTGTGTTACTGTGCATTCCAACCTCAAAACATTATTTCGTTAAGCACATACGCAGAAGTTTGTTTAAGTCATCCCCGAAACCTAAGTATTATGACTCCTGATGCTGGTGTTAACGTTTTGCTGTAATAATGACTTAGTAAAATATAACTACAAATATGATGCGATTCTAATACTCTTGAAGGTCATATGAATTAAACAAATATTATCGACAGGGTTATAATCACCTGTAGTAATGATAGGATTCATGCATCAAATCGACGTTGAATTTATTAATGGACACATAGAATACCCACATGATCATACGCACATATACATCATTGGACACCCTTATTGAATTACCTTTCAGTAGTGTATCTTCTATCATATGTTGGTTTATAATACGAAATACAAAACCTGAATTAAGAGACATACGTTGCTGTACTACTTTAATTGATGAACATTTGTATAAATAGTATATATGTAGTTATATTATATGTATGCTTATAGTCATTAATTCGTATTTTCTCTTTTCTTTCCATCTATTCGTTTCTTGTGTTTTCTTTAGTTATCTATTTATTTGTTTCTATGTATTTCTGTATTTATTAAACACTGCTGTCGAGGAAGGTGACGCCCTGAATTCTGCGAAGTCTCCTTTGAGGTCGATGTAGTGTGAAAAAAAAGGTATATATTATGTTTTTGTTTGTGCATCGTGTGTTGACCCGCGGTATAAAGCTGTTGCCATTCTCGCCCACAGTGGGTTATTGATCGTGAGCCTTGGTGAGTTGTGACACGTGTTGGCTCCCGAGTTCTCAAAGTTTGGTAGATAAGTTAAGTTTTTCTTCTTCAATGAGATGTGGGACGGCTTCTAAATGGCCTACTTAAGCTACGACACAGTGGTTGGTAGATATTCTGAGAGGTATTGGGATGACGTGAAGATTAGTCCAGCTTATTTCACCTGAAGATTAAACACCCTGAACCAAACCTAACCTAACCTAACCTAACCTAACCTAAACCAAACCTAACCTAACCTATTTTGCTTCAACGTAAAGAGTCACAAAGTATTTTTTTTTTTTACATTTAAATGATTAAGCGAGACTGTATCTATCCGACTCGTTTAAGTTACGACGCAAAAATTCCTAAGGTATTTTTTCTTCAATTCGAGGATATGAGAACCGATCAAGGTGGGTGTATAGAGTCGCGGCATGAACATAGTTACCCGGAATAGATGACTGACTACAGGGTGGTGAACGAGTGACCCACAGCACTGTTGGCGTTACTAATAGCAAGAGTATCAACAAACGGTTACAGGGTGGTGAAACAAACTACATGAATCTAATTTCCTCATCAACACTACAATTACCAATGAGAATATGTCTGTTAAGGGACGCGTACACGCAGGCAAGCACAGGTCCATCAACACGGGCAAGACAGGTCCATAAGCACGTATCTACGCCGTTCTTGAATGCAGTCAGACATGAAGTATTTATATAAGAAGCTCAAGGACACGGGAGGAGAAATACGCATATACGCATGTCTAAAGTGCAAGCATATATATGCAGTGTTTTAAGTCCACACACACACACACACACTCAAATGACCTATTCCCCAATTATGTAATTGTGTATTTTCACCCTTTCGACCGGCATGCTCTTTCAATAAACCGTTAATTATTATTATTATTATTATTATTATTATTATTATTATTATTACACACAAAACGTAGGTCCAAACACTCGAGTATACAAACACACACATCCGCAGTACTTAAGACTTAGCACTCACGTATAAACACACTCAAATTCCCAATAATTATGTTCAAGCACCCAAGTGTATACATACGCACATACGCACATCCTAAACGTAAACGACTGGACAAAATGCTATCGGTAAATGTATCCTTTGAACTTTATACCAGAGAGTCACGCACCTTCCTTCATCGAGCTGTTGATGGCGGTGTCAGGGTATACACTTAAACCACTTGAACCGAGATGCAAGTCGTATACCTGTACAAACAATAAAAAATTCATGCTCTGACACACACACACACACACACACACACACACACACACACAAATACACACTAGTGCTCATGTGAATTTACAAAATTTAGTACCAACACACATACACGTACACACAGGCAGGCACTCACCAGGACAGTCATAAACGGGTAGACAAAGACAACTATGAAAACACAGGTCGATGTTCTGAGGTCATTAACCTCTCTATTCTCCCGATAGGAAATTTATATTTTGGTGAATTTATATATTGAAAAATTATTTATATACTCAGATATTTATTGTGGAATTTATATACATTGACCAATATATAAACGCTAGAATTCATGTTTTGTAGAATGTAAATATTTTTAGATTTATTTATATGTATTGTGGAATTTATATATTGTAGTATTAATATATTAAATAATTTATATGTTTATACATTCTTATATAATTGAGTTCATTGTATTTTATATGATGATTAGTTAGGTATAAAATCTATCGTTTCCTGAGTTTATAATTTGAAGAATATAAATACACTACATGGCTTATATCTAGTTGAATTTATATAGGCCTATGTGTAGAGCTTACGTGTTTTATGACTGATATTCAATGGAATTTATACACTATTTAGTTTATATATTACAGAATTTATATATCAAAGATTTTTTTTTGGTTTGTGGTATAGCGAGTAAATATATATATATATATATATTGTATTTAAGGAAATTTATATAGAATTCAAATTTTACGCAATAGAATTTTATGTACCGTTCCATTAACAATTCTCATGAAGTTATATAACATTTTTTTTACAGTATTACCAGATAGTCCAACATATACTTATACACATACAGTTATTTATCTGCACAGAACAATGTAAATTTGACAGACAGACAGACAGACAGACCAGTGCTTGCCAACGGTGCGTAATAGAGAAATGACCGACCGCTTGACAGGTTAACAAGCTGACAAGTGGCGAAGAGAATATGTAAAGTACTTGAATACACGTAACCCTACACTACACAATACTCTATGAACTCCACACACACACAAGCCCATCAGGACCATCACCTCCAGCAGAAAACCAGAGAAACCTACTCCTGACAGATCGTACCATTACACTGAAGTTCCCCGAATATGGTACGGTCTCCCTTCCTTACTGCTCTCTAACGTCACTTCCTTAGCTAATAAATTTGACAATCTGGCAACCACAATCCGGTCAGTCGCTGCCATATGTGAAGCTTGGCAAATTGTTCTTGAAACGTGCCATATTGATGGATGTCAACTCTTTCATCACCTTCGTTCAAATATGAGTAGACGTCGAGGGGGCATTGCCCTCTTCCATCAAGATGAACTACGCCTGTCACGCCTGGGTGTTTCAGTCCCAGCTGATGCTGAGGTATTATGGGTACGTGTTGTGCCACGTGCCCACCCTCGCCACACTGCCTCTCCCATATACTGTGCCATCCACCTCGCTCACCCACCAGAGACACTCTGATCAATCACCTCAGACCGCCTCAGAGTTAGGTACCCATGTGCCAGGCTAGTACTATATGGGGATTATAACGAAATTGACACCAATGATATCCAGAATAAGCTGCTGCTCTCACAAGCTGTGAACCTCCCTACACGCGGTTAAAATACCCTTGACCTTATCTCAACTGACTTAGCGAACCAGTACCAACCAATTCAACCAATGCCTCCTATTGGGTGTAGCACACACATATCAGTGCTCTGGTCTCCAGCTCCCACTACCAGCCAAGTGCAGAGACCCTTACATTAAGACCTGCAGGCCGATTACTGACTCTGCAGTGCGTCTCTTCGGGCAGTGGATAGTTCACCATCCCTGGACTAAAGTACCGGGTTCCCGACTATACCGCCCTCCAGGATATATTAAAGTCTCCAAAATTGGGCCACCAACAACCACATCACCATCAACCATACCAAGACCATAGTTATGCACATCAACCTCTCCTCCAACCTTGTCCCACCTCCCTCCATTATTTTGGGCCCCAACACACTCCAGGTTGTGGATTCCACTAAGCTCCTCGGCGTCACTATAGATAACAAACTAAACTGAAAACACACGTCAGTACAGTACTCAAATTCTCCAGTTTTCGTCTCCACCTCCTCCGCCGACTCAAGTCCCCCAGAGTTCGTGCGCCCGAGTTCCTCAGTGTTTACTCAACATTTATACTTCCCAAGCTCACCTATGCCTCCCATACTTGATCTTCTTCTCTAAATCCCACACAACAGAAACATCTGGAAAAAGTGCAAAAGAGGGCATGCAAGATTATTCTCTCCCCTTCCTACTCCATATATCAATACGCACTCATCACATTGACCCTCTCAGTTCTGGCTGATCATCACCACGACCTCATCTGCAAATTTGGTGAGAAGCTTCTGCACCATCCTCGACACCGGCTCTTACTTCCACCCGAGATCCCTCGTCCGCGAATTGCCATTCGACACCACAACCGCATCCAGCCCATACGAGCACATACTGATCGCGATAGGAACAGCCCAGTCACAACCATTGCAAAAATTATCAACAACTCGTATTCAACTAATGTATTCACTCCCAGCCAATCTTACTTTTTGCACTGTTACTATGTTGAAATGCCCTGTAGTACAATCTTCTTCCCACATAGTTATTATATATCATGCGGTATTTGTATCAATTATGTTACCTGTATATTATTTGTCGATCAAGTGACCCATTCCCCAATTATGTAATTGTATATTTTCAGCCTTCTGGCTGCCATGTTATTTCAATAAACTATTAGTCATCATCATCATCATCATCATCATCATCATCATCATCATTACACACACACACACACACACGGAAGTCATTAGCATATGGACAGGTGTGTAGTACCAACCTACTTCGGTTGAGTTACTCTGTCGATAAGAACTGCCAGTAGAGAACTATTTACGTGGCCTCAATATTCCTTTGTGTAGGAACATGACCTAGAAAGCATTGCGTGT